TTGCTTTGTATATTAGCATATACAAAATACTCATACGACATATTTTTATCCCACGCGTTAACTGTAGTACTTAATATAGACATAAGAACTGATTTAAAAGTATAAAAAAATGTGTTTTACCTTTCAACAAGTACTCATATTCTTTGTAAATTGGTCGTAAATTATGGTAATTGACACGATGATTACAAACCTTTCCCCCTGCTCACAACTTTTACCAACATCACAATTATGTTTTGCTTAAAAATAAATAATAGATTATGATTATACCCGGCAGCTACTGCATGTGAGAACGGATGGTACGCATGGGCTATCATTATGTGCTCCCTTTTTACAGGAAGATAAATGACTGGGCTGCTTAATAGCTTTATAACTAGAATTAATATTTATATATTTTTACCATGATTTATTAACCCAAATTATATTCATAACCTTTAAAAAAAAACTTACCCCACACTAGGATTTTCTCCTGTATCGTAGAGGCAGTTTACAAACATAAATTGTACAAAGGCAAACATCCAGACTCGGAAAAATTATTTGTAGGCTATACAAATACTTGTTTAGTGCGGAATTCGAACCCACGGCTCGTTTCCAGAAAAAAATGTTTCCGGTTCTCCAAGCGCACCATACAAAACACAGCAGCATGAAGTTGCTATTTTACACTGTTATTTTGTGTAAGCGTGGCATTACCTCGGTTAAGCGGAACTAGTCGCGCTGCAATCACAACATAGCTGCAGCGTGGCTCTACCACGTATGCTTATATGTTTCCAGTGTAGTGTATATATACTTCTAATATTTATACTTATATTCGTAGTTTCAATACTCCATATGCTGTGGCCCATATGAGGTATTTTGCGAAGGCGTTGTCGTCCCCAAAAACTAAGATAAAATGTCTTACATACAATGTATGCTGACTATCTTACCCTCCGTATCTATTTTCAGTAAATCTTCAAACATGTACTTTTTGCCACGGCTCTGCTGCAGTAACTACTTTTTTGGACGGTAGTTTAGATCAAAACCATTTTACTTTTCGTTTTAGAACGGTATATAACTACTGTATTTTTGTGTAACTTAATCTTAATCAATAAAATAAAACATGTTTCAGTTAACGATGATAGTAAAAAAAAAAGAAGAAAAAATTCTTTCTGATGCAACTGCAGTGTCAAATAAACTTGTAATTCACGTGATAGTAAGTGGCTCCATTCCATGGACACCTGCAGCCAAGTTCATAACTCGCACTTCTGAAGACTAAGAGAGAATGCTTCACAGTCTGTATTTATACTGACGCTCTTTATACCCAGAACGGAAAGACACACAGAACGGAACACAGCAGTGCTAGAATTTTATTTTTAACAGTATATACAATACTAAAAAAACTAAAACAAGAAACTAAATTTTCATATAGTCTTACTCCCCGCGGTATCGTGCCAAGAACCCTAGCTGCGTTTCCCCGCTGAATGGATATACTTAGCCTTTGAGCGAGAAAAGAACGAGCCTTCTTATCACCAGCAGCAACGACCAGCCGCGGATGGAGTTATTTAGGAACTCCACCGCACTTGGACCCCACGGACCGATAGTCTCTACAGCAAATGGCACAAATATACTCGAGACTCATATTTGCGCCACTTAGTTCAACTGCTTTTTAGTGGCAGAAATAGATAAGAGTGTTGTACCTACTCAGACGGAATCCTAGCCAGACAAATTGTCCTACAACCTAGTTTTTTTTAAATCATTAATTTCAAAAAAGGGGTTTTGTCACACAGTGACTATGTCACCCCCGTAAAGTATAGACAAATAATAACAGGAAATTAACGAATGAACACACAGTAACATCGACAGTAATACAACTACATACAATCAAGATAAATTTAACAACAAAAATATATATGTTGCAATTCAATCCGGTGATATGATTACCCTCATAGGTGGAGAATATTACATCTATCTAATCTCATACTATACTACATATAAATAAAGTTTGATTAGCATTTTGGCCTCTTGACAAAGTGTGGAGGATAGAATAGAATTACAAATGCCTACATTGTGGTTATGCAAAAATGACTTATCTTGCCTATGTACCTCGTTCCGTACACACTCCGTCAAAACATGGTGCACATCTTCTACAGTATCACACTCTGTGCAGTTAGGGGAATCTGATATTGCCATCAGATATCGGAATAGTTATTTGACAGGATGTCTCCTGAACGAAGTCTTAAAAGCGCTACAACATTCTTCCTGCTTATTTCATCTTTTTCAAACCATGGGTAACAAGGAGGTTGACACTGAATTTTCATGTACCATATTTCTTTATTAAGTGAGCGTTCATCAAAATACTCTTGCCATAACTGCCTACAATCTACTTTAACCTCACGTAATAATTCGCTGTGTTCTGGTAATACATTGTATGTATCAGCAGGTATCCATTGTATGATTATCACCTTATTTAATGAATTGAGCTTACGAATGGAATCTAGGATAATGTAGGCTATCGGAAATTCTCGAATACTCGAGGGTAGCCGAGCCAAATGTTTAGGGCACTTTTAGCATCGGATAATATTACAAATTGATTGTAATTCAAAGTTTTAACATACGATAAAGCCTCGGAAATCGCGATTAGTTCACAGTGCATTATAGAAACGTCAGCCCTACTTTTGAATCTTACACAGATATTCATCTGCTTGTCAACAAAGGCTGCACCGCATCCTGTTTTATCTTTTGATCCATCTGTGTAAATGTTATAGTTTGTGTTGCATTTACTATTCAGAAAGTTGCAACATAAATTAAATAAACTATTTATATCGACATGCCTCTATGGGTGTTCCATTCCATCAATGGTTATCTTAATGTGATAAAATATTTCATATTTACTAATCCAATCGCTGAGAGAGGAAATCAATAGTTTGGGGTCAGAGTGGATAGGAAAATTACAATATTTATTATGAGTTTGAACCAGTAACGGAACTTTCTTTCTCCTCCAGTATACGCTCTGGCACTGACTATTTAATTCTTCTATAACACGTATAGTTATATTGTTTTTAATTGACCTAGACTTAAGGTAAAATTTTGCAGCAAGGTATCGTCTACGAATGGACAGTGGTTGTAGACATAGTTCACATCATACAGTTCCATTACGTGGATAGGGGTACTTCTTATAAATCCGCCTATCACTCTCACAGCTTGATTCTGTACTTTATCTTGTTTGTATAAATGACTTTTTACACTGCTGCCATATAAAAAACAACTGTAGTCTAATCTGTTTCTAAGTAACGTCATATAAAGACGTCTCAAATGTTTTGGATGAACACCCCATTTGGAACCTGCTAGCACTTTAAAGATATTTAGAAATTTAAGTATTTTTCCCTCGTTTCATTTATGTGTCTACCCCATTTTAAGTTCCTGTCCAGCCACATACCTAAATACTTAACATTATCGACTCTTTCAATATGTTCATTTCTGATATTTAAAGTAATATTATTACTGTTTGAGTTTCTCGAATGACCTCTTGTGAATATGCAAACTTTGTTTTTTCTATGAGAAATTTTGAAACCGATATCCGTTATCATCATGTTTAAAGCCGCTAAAGTATCTTGAGTAACAGAAAGCGCATTCATTACATTTTTATGGCTAGTGTAAGGTACAAAATCATCAGCGTGTTGAGATATGAATACTTGATTTAGATTTTTACAGATATTGATATTAAATAATAATGGAGATAAGGGGTCACCTTGTGCTATACCGCTTTAGTTCTTATTATAATTTGATTTTTTACTTTGATGCAAATGAATGAATGCCTATATGAAAATTCGGCTGGCCTAGTTCCAAACTGAGTAAGGATATAAATTATTTTTACTGGAAGCAGCGAAACATATATCAAGGCAATCCTTGAAAAGTTTTAATTGAACATATATTAAAAGATTTAATTTAGGAAAATGATGTGGCAATAGGCCAGCGAAATCCAATGGGAAAGAAAGGTTCTAGAGTTGTAACCTAGTTCCGATAAGCGCCGTGTCGTGTCGCCCCAATAAAGAAATTTAAAAGAGGCATGTAGCTTAGGACCGTTATACTTTTATAATTATTGTTATATACTTTATTGTTCACCACAAACACGAAGAAAAGTTGGATTACAGGAAGTAAGACATAGAAGATAGGTATATCCTCAATATGGCGCTTATATCGCTAAAGAGTGACTTCTTCCAGACTACCTTAACTTAAAGGGGAAAATATGAACTATTGGACAATGTAAGGTGATGTATATTATAATAAGTTCATCAATTATATATGTTCAGCAGTGGGCTTGTTAAGAGCTGTGATGATGGTGATGATGTAAAGATTTTAAATATTTAACTGTTTATTTTTAAAGATTTAATGACGGTGGTTATCGTATCTCCGTAGAAAGAAAATCAGTTCGAAAGTAAGATTTCAACTACAAAAAAATTCATTTTACTATCTGCGTTTTACTTTTTTTTTAAAGAATATCAGTAACGCAATTAACATTTCTAATACTCCCGTTAACTACTAAGTAAGCTTAAGTGCTTGTGAGGGAACACATTAGTAGAATGAATATTTTGATATGGTACAACTAAATTGTGAATCAGTTCAGTCAAGTATTCAAAAGGTGAATCGATTGGTACGGATATAATTTATTAGTAACTAGCTGTTCACCGCGACTTCACCCACGTGTTATTAGGGGTTTTCATTTTTTGCGCGGAAACATAATTCCTTTTCTAAAATAAAAGTAGTATAAGTTACTCCTTGTGACATTAGCTGTCTTCCAGTGAAAATCCTGTTGAAATTGGTCCAGCCGTTTCAGAGATTAGCCGGAAGAAACAGAAGGACAGACAGACAGACAAAAACTTAAAAATTGTGTTTTTGTTATTTTTACCGTATATACATACATACGCATTCAGTAAAAAGCTGTAATTTTAACATTACAAACAGACATTTCCATTTTATTTATTTGTATAGATTGTGCCACAGATGAGGTAAAAGGACGAAGTACTCACCCACAGTGGAGCAGAGGGCTGTAACTGCGAGGCGAACGCCATTCGGAATGCATCTCCCACCAACGTATTCAACTCCTCCGCCTGAAAATATTTTTTTTTAATATAACATTTTTTTTTTTTTTTTATAGGATATGGGTGACAAACGAGCACACAGTCCACCTGATGGTAAGTGGTTGCTGTGGCCCATAGACATCTACATTTATCCTCTATTACAAATCAAAATGTAGATGCGTTGTCACCCGTGAGGACTAAGATGGAATGCCTCATTTCCAGTAAAAAGGGCCTCCGGCCACCTGCACTCACCAAGCGAAACGCAGAGGTAAACCTCTACTTCACGCTGGTTTTCTGTGAGGTCGTGGTACCACCCCGGTTCGAGCCGGCCCATCCGCGCGACAGCAAAAGCTGCCGCGTGGCTCTACCACTGTACAAAACATACGCTTTTAAGAATAAAGATAAACCAATTGAACCTTTAAAAAGTTACCAAGGACTTAATGTACTAAACATAAAAATATTTACAAAATTAAGTAGATCCTGAGGTCAACGCGAAAGAAGGATGTAGAAAAATTAACACCCCGACTTCGGAAATGATAAAAATATGCGGTAATTATATTATTATCTATAGTTTTTTTTATGTCAGTGTTTACTTTTTATTCTTGGAGTTTTGTTTTTTTTTTTTTGAGTTTACTCAAGAATTAAGGTTAGTAACATCAAACGTTAACAAAAATTAAAGCCTTTATAGTTTTCCTCTGCGCAACACACTCGCGCATCTCATAGCGCGATATAAATAATGTAATATAAGTCATATATTTTTACGTAATAAATTTATGTAATAAATTTAATCAAATCAACAAAGTTGAATATATGGGTTGATTTACTAATAATTATTTAACCCTTTGGTGTGGACCAAAACAACAACACAAGCTCTACGTGACAAAAACACGTCATCTATCGTACATTCCTTCTTTTACCACTCCCGGTGGTAGATCTTTAAAATAAAAATATAACTCAAAAGATTATTTTTATATGAAAAACACTACCAATGCTTTTAACTTTACTAATACTCCCTTTAACCTCTCCTCTTATAATGATTGTGTTAAGTGTGATTCATAGCAGTATTCGAATGGCGTATTCGAACCCACGGCCTTAAGGATTCTCGGACCGCGACCTGCCATTAGGCTATTGTCGCAGTTTAATTTACCATATCAGTTCAAATTCTATCAATCTTATTTACTTAATAAAAAGGTACCAACAAATCAGTTCACAGTCAATATAATTTAATAGAGTAGAACAGAATGCTGTACATAGGCCTATGTTCAGCAATGGACTTGTGAAGGGCCGTAATGAAAATGATGAGAAAAAAATGATTTTTATTCAATATTGTTTATTACATAATACTTATTGAAAATCATTTTTTTATGGAATTTTTCATAAATATATATTATCACTTTACTATAACTTTGTACAATTCTTAATGATTTTTTGTAGAGCCAGCATAATGGCGATCATCTCATTCCCATTTCCCTTTATCAGTTAACAATCGGTTAAGATGTTGATAACATACATACAAAAAATACAGTTCAATTTAGATCCCACCGTTCTTGAAGTCGGTTAGTAAAAATGCAAGAAACAAATATGAAGTTATGATAAAAATATATTCATAAGTAATGATTAACATTTAGTTCGCAGTGTAGCACACAACACTCGTAATACAAACGTCATGACATAAAGGTGCCACTCTTCCTTCTTTATCGCAGTCTTTAAAACTTTGGGATTCCAGCAATGAATATCAATAAAACAACTTGTTTCCTAACTTTGTTTTATATCCAAGGATTTCTGAGAAATGATGATGTATTATAAAATGACCTAAACCATATAAAGTTAATATAAAACGTTGTTACCCTTAATTATATATTAAGAATTCATTAAGATGTATAAAATGTGTCTTTATATTTTGTCATTATATCCTATACTTAAAGTGAGCCATTATTATTGCTTTTATATAATTATATATAATATTATGTAACTGGTTTCTTTCTTTCTTTGAAACAATACTGCTGTGTTTCATATGGAGAGTATTAATACCCGGAGACCATTTCTACTGGAAACGAGGCAGTCTATCTTAGACCTCAGGGGTGACAATGCGTCGGCATTTTGTTTCTTAATCAAGGCTATCCTTGCTACCATCTATATGTAGGTGTCTAAGGGCCACAGTATCTGCTATATACTTCAGGTAGTCTGCGACTGTGTGTCACCTTTATTCATAAAAAAAAATTCACGTCAAGCTAAGCTCTGTCGCTTAGATTCTCCGATATCTAAGTGAGCAATATTTAAATAAATTATATGCATTTGTATATTTTTAATTAGTTTGTCAAAAAAGTTACTTAAAACGGTAATGTTTTACTTTCTAAGTTAATCTAGGTTAACCCCGAGCATAACCTTGTACGCTAAGGTATTTTATATTTATACAACATACATCCTTCCCAATACATTACATACTATTGGGAAGGGCGTAAAAAAAAACAAAAAAAAATTATGGCACATATTCAATTTCACCACACATTTTCAAGCCCGTAATATCAAGTAAGAGGAATTTCGCCTGATTTTAAGCGAGGATAGATGTAGGCGTTTATGAGCCACAGCATCCACTTTACATAAGGTGGACTATGTCGTTTGTCATATTTTTAGTTAATAAAAATAAAGTAGAAAAAAAACAAAGTATCGAAAAGTGTCTTATCTGGAAAAAGATTATTTAAGAAACAAGCCAGAGCCGCTAGCATATAAAGAAGCTCGTCAGTGTTGATTTAAAACTCGCATTTGTAGCTGGCTTAATTTTGTCGGCAGACATTAAACTGTTATGTGAGGATGATGTTACTACTAGAGTCCCAATTTGGTTGCGAATACTCCCTGCGAGCTCAGCTACTGTGTTATTAATTAAGACGGTTTTATTTTAAAGATGACAACTGAAGATTTAATACTAATGAACATAACTGAACATAATGAACTAACACTAAACATAAATTTAAATTGACATAATATCGGGACTTGAAGCTGATAATTCGCGTCACACCTATTCCGTACCGTTTAGATACATTTTCAACTCGTATACCGAGCGTCTCTGTTAAGCAATGAATGATATATTTACCTACTAGATAGAACTAAATCATATTAGCACACTAAGTATATTACTGCAGGAACTTCTATCTGGTGTAATGGTAAAACCTCAAGTATTTGGAATTTTAATGTATAACAAATATCAAAATTTAACGTTTATAATAGAAAACCTTTAAATATCTTTAATATGGTAAACGTTTTTTAAATTTTAGTTTCAATTATCTACTTAAATTATTTTATGTAGGCAGTAAATGGTGCAAATAGTTTTTAACAACCCTTAAAATCGTGTTTCTATTAACCCCTTTTACGTTTCTAATAACTCCTCATTCGTATCTATTCACCCCTTTCTTCATTTCTATTAACCCCAAAGGCGTATTTATTCACACATCAGTCGTATCTATTCACCTCGAATTCGGGAAAAATACCAGTATCCTGATTTTACTATTTAAAAGAATAAACTCGTTTAATATCAATATTCATATTTGTATTAATAATAGATGAGAAACTCAACTCCCTACAAAAAAAATTGCAACAAGGAAACACTGAAGAACTTGATGTTTAACTAAAACTTTTCATCATCATCATCATTACAGCCCTTCACAAGTCCACTGCTGAATATAGGCCTCCCCCAAAGAATCCACAAAGCACGGTTCTGAGCCACCTGCATCTATCGACTTCCTGCATGTCTTACCAGGTCGTCACTCCATCTCGAGGGGGGACGCCCTACACTTCGCCTACCGGTACGAGGCTGCCACTCGAGAACCTTTCTTCCCCATCGGTTGTCGGTTCTTCGAGCCCGGCCCATTGCCACTTCAGCTTACTAATCCGTTGGGCTATGTCGGTTACTTTGGTTCTACTGCGGATATACTCATTCCTAAGTTTATCACGCAGAGAAACTCCGAGCATAGCCCTCTCCATAGCTCGCTGAGCTACCTTGAGCTTCCTTATCCAGCCAGTGAAGTGAAGTCCAGGCAGTGAAGGACCACGTCTCAGTTCCGTATGTCATCACTGACAACACGCACTGGGTGTACAGTCTCGTTTTCAAGGTTTGAGGTATACCTGACGAGAAGATGTGCCGTAATTTCCCGAACGCTGCCCAACCGAGTTGAATCCGTCGATTGACCTCTCGGTCGAAGTTGGACTTACCTAGTCGGACTATTTGTCCCAGGTAAACATACTCGTCAACAACTTCGAGCTTAGTGTTCCCAACAACTACCGGCATAGGTGTGACATGTACATTAAACATGATCTTAGTTTTGTCCATGTTCATCTTAAGACCTATCCGTTGGGAAACACTATTGAGGTTATTGAGCATAGTGCTTAGGTCCTCCAGCGATTCTGCCATAAGGACTATATCGTCGGAAAATCGAAGGTGAGTGCTGTACTCGCCATTGATGTTGATACCGTATCCTTTCCAGTCCAGAAGCTTGAAAACGTCTTCCAATGCAGCGGTGAAGAGTTTCGGGGATATGACGTCACCCTGTCTTACACCTCTCTGCAATTGGATAGGTTTCGTACTCTGGTTCTGTACTCGGATAGCCATCGTAGCCCTATTGTACAAGCACTTCAACACTTCGATATACCGACAGTCAACTTGGCACCGCTGAAGGGACTGCAGCACCGCCCAAATTTCGACGGAATCAAAGGCTTTCTCATAGTCCACATACGCCAGACATAGTGGCAAATTGTACTCTTCGGACTTCTGTACAATTTGCCGAAGGGTATGTATGTGGTCTATGTTGCTAAAGCCCTTTCGGAAACCGGCTTGTTCGGGAGGCTGGAAGTCGTCAAGACTGCGCGCGAGACGATTCGTAATGACTCTCGAAAACAGCACGTAGACGCGGCTCAGAAGGGAAATCGGTCTATAGTTCTTCAAGAGAGCGTTGTCACCTTTCTTGAAGAACAAGACCACCGCACTTCTGCTCCACGCTTTCGGTGTAATGCCACCATGGAGGACGGAATTAAAGAGC